GATGACTCAGGAACTTTCAGATGGAAAATGCCTGAGAAAATACATACATGTATCGACAGGGCCTTCAGTCAAGTGCATAACAGAGTGTTCAATTTCAATAGTACAATCTATAGAAAATAAATTTATGTAACTGAGGGAAGAACTGGAAATGGAACTTCTGTAAAGTTATGATTATGATTACAAAATAACTTCATGCTTCACGTCAGTAGTCCAACTGTAAAACTCAAATTTGATATTTAAAATGTGCTAAATTTAAATCACTACATGGAAATACTTTACATAGTGATGATATCAAAGCACCTTACATCCCAAACGTGAGGGTGGAATCCTGATGATGCTTGGTACCAAATAGAGAAGACACCACTTGATACTAATACAGATGAATCCAGGATGCAAGACTAACGTTACAGATGAGGAAAGAAGTATAAGATAGGAGTATAAAGACATAGGAAGCAGATAGTTGTAGATAGAAAGTTAAAGTTGTGTATCATAAAAAGCACCATAATAAGTATAAATCAATAAAAAACCTACAATGATGTTCTGTCAAATTCATCAATATCTTAATTGATCTATTTAAATACAATATATTGGAAACTGTCTTACATATTCACTTTTCACTGTGTAGATAATTTGCACATTTTAAGTCAGTTATAAAATTTGATTCCCCTCCTTAGCATTAAAAGTAAAATGATTGTTCCTACCACCAGGTGGAGCACAGACACAACAACTATGAAAGGGATGCTGAATCACAAAACTGAAGAACACTCCAAGAATATAAAGTTTTAAGCCCTATACAAGTAAAATTATACATAATAAAACTTTTCCTCATTATTTAAAAGTATTGGATGAAGAAAGGTGTTGCACACAACTACTGATATCTCATCAAAGAAAAAATATGAGCGTCCACGTTATACACAAATCAAAGCAAGGAAAATAAAAAGAGGCAATGAAACTGCAGATCAAAATTAAACGCAGAAACGCAGAGCTCTGATTTTGACACTGAAATTCCACTTCACATTCTATTAATGGATTTTGACCAGTAACTTCACATTGCTAAAACAAACATTGGTTACTTTTATGGAAAAAAAGGAGAAATTATGTTAGGAAAGTAAAGTTCATTCAGCAAATCACATTGCAATATTACAGTTATTTGTCTCAAGAATATTTGAAAAGCATAATCCACCTGTAGAGTCACTTTCTCATTCACAATTATTTATGCATGCTTCATATTTTTTCAAATTTATTACTCCCAATATCAATTAAATCTTTATATTTACCCCTTACCCACCATTGGATTTTGTAAATTATGTTCTAATTAGTTTTATTTATATCTTGTAGACAGCATTTCAATGAATCATATAGTTCTTCTTAAGAGGGATAAGCATTCGCCAAACATTTGTTTATTGAAAGTATAAGACAGAAGACATATTTTTAGGGTTCAACAATATTGTGACAGTTAATTGAATTACTGTTACATCTATTGTCAAAGGGGAGATGAGGTATTCTTCTAAAATAATACACCTTAAGGTTTAAATAAATAAATAAACAATACGGACAAAAAGACTAAAGCCTCCACTGACAATACTGAAATGCTGTACAGGATTTAGGAATAAGTCTTAGTAAAGTAAAATCAAATTATTTGATCCCATTGCAAGTATTTATACACTAGGATTATTACTATTTTTTTTTTAATTTCCAAATACTTAACATAGTGGTTACCAAATGTTTAATGGTTGTGAAATTTAAACTAGGGTCTGAAGTTGAAAGAACCAGGCCAAAGAGGAAAAATGAAAATATGGGTTACTTTCTCTACTATCTCCAGAAAGAACAATGGATGACATTTAAGATGAGAGTGTCTGCTTTCAAATAGCCACAAATATAAAAGAAAAATGGAATGCAGCTTTTTTCTCCTATTTTCTTCAGGGCATAAATGTTATGGAGGTAACTCAATATATAAATATGCCAAAATTCTAGTAAAGGACTCTAGAGATATTAGAAAATATGGATATTGTTGAATTTTCATTGAGTGTAACAAGAAGACTAAGATATATTTATTCAACTTGTACTAAACTCAGGGACACTCCCCCAAAGACATAAGGACCAATATGAGTTATTATTCATTGCATTTCTTTTCTCTTTTTAAGCTTTTTAACTGGAAACACAGTTTTGCACAAGCTATATCTGCAGGGACCTGCCACTGTGTGACATATTTAAAGAGATAGAAGCAGAAGAGAGCCTTGGATTGGTTGGTCACGTGGGCAAGCTACAGTCTCATTGGCCCACACTGTCAAGAAGTCTTGAATTTTTCCTGAAAAGATAGAAAGAAGGAGGTTTTGGTAAATAGTGAAATATAAATCCTTCTCAGTCAGGATATTTAGTTATGAATCTCATTGTTAAAATTTAACAAGGAAAGGGATAAAAATATTTGGGAGGGAATTTCAGAGGTTGCCGGAAGGGTGTGTCAGAGCACAGGGGAGCGTAGGTGTTGGCTGAGACCTCTAGGAGAACAGCGGAGAAGGTTTTGGAAACATGCATCTTGTCCACTCCTATGTGAGCAGTACTGCAAGAGCAACTTCAAGCTAATGATAGATTCCTAAGTTAGCTTTTCATCTGAAAAGCTGTTAAAAGCAAAAATGAAAGAGATAAATGTGAGAGGAAATAGTATAGACAGAATGAACTCTAAGGGACTGGGTGATTACATGTGAAGAGATTAGCCAGAATTGAAATACTCCAATAAAAAAAAAAAAGACAAAGTGATATCCAGCAATATCAACTATAGCTAAGACAGCTTCCATTTTAATATAATATGCTAAGATATGAATTTCATAAATTTAAAGAATATTTTATGAGTCCCAAAAGAAAACAGTTTGAAGACAGTCATTTTTTGTAGTGCTCCATCAATATCTTATGTGTGCAGCTAATTTGAATACCTGCTTATCTTAGAGCATGTCCACAGGTTTCATTATTGTCTAACAACTTTGGAAAACTTGCAGAAAATTGAAAAAAGTAGTGTTGTCTAAGGATGCCTGAATTCAGCATTGCACAAAAGAGCACCCGCTAAAATTAAGATATGACCAAAGTAAAATAGTGATTCACCATTTATGTTCCTTTGTGCATGGAGGTTTTAGTGCATGTATAACTGAAATGCACAGAGCAGTACGTTTTGTGTTCTGTATAAAGCAGACATACATTTTCAAAAGGTAGATGACATACACGTTCATTAAGACAATCATTTCTCAAGGAAATATTGCAGCTGGTAATAAAGTCTACAGAATATGAAATAAGTCAGAGAAATTATGCATTAGTCATGTCAGATTGTTGGGGCTATTTCCAGTGATTTGACATTTTATCATTTCTGGAATCTCAACAGCAGTAAAGCTGGGGTCATTCAGATTAACTTGAAACTCTAAACTCATCTCCCACTGTGCCAAAATCAGATCATTTGTGATGTACTATGTAATTACAGCGCTATCATCTTCCAGGCATCTTGCTTCTGATGCATATGAAACATCTTAATGGCACTACCTGTACGAAACAGATTAAGAAATAAAACAGGTGACAAGGGATGAGCCACAAAGTCAATAAAAACAGACTTACATATTCATCAAATATACACACTATGCTTAACAAAATCACCATGTCCTATAGAAAATTTTTTTAAAAAGACTTATAATGATCTAAGGAGGAAATACAATGATCTTAAGGTTCTACATATAAAGTTCACAGTTAATGACAAAGAAAATTTGTAAGTATTAATGATGTTAAGCAGGCATGCGTTAGCAACTTTGTCATTTAAAACATACTCTTATGATAGTTTAGTACTTAGTACTTCCACTGTATGTAGGGTAGTAGTGAGTATGTCTTTATCCCTAAAGCTAAAGGATATCAGATACATTTCCCTACCAGGCTTGGGAGTATAAAGTTGTAATACCAGTGGCAGTAGCGAGGTTCAGGCAGGAGGATGAGAGGATCGATTTCGACCTGGGCTGCATAGTGGTTAAAAGACTGCCTGAGCTACAGGGAGAGACCCTGTCTCAAAAAACAAGAAGAAACCAAAGAAAGCCCAAACCACCCTTTTTCTTTTAAGAAAATTCTCCAATATAAACATAAACATGAAAAGATATATTTCTTTACCCAAATGAAAGTTAACTGCAAAATTTACTCAGATTATAAGAATAAATGTGTTAAATGAATACATTTTAAAAATTCAGCAATATGAATAGAAAAGAAAGAGGATGGAATAATCTAATACAGAGTCACTTTTGACAGATATGTTTATAGCAATAAGTGTCTATATGGTCACAAAATTTACACAGTGTTATCTTGGTTCATGGCCGTAATTTTGCTTGTGCTGCAATTTTGGTGGCCACATTCGTATTTATGTGAGAAACATGGCTAAGGTTGTGTTTGTCATCCGATGCAGGGTTTGGAAACATGAAAATATGTTCCAGGGCTTCTGGTTCTGACTGAAATTGCTTGCAAACAAGAGCATTTGTGAAGCATGCTGCCTCTGTGTTCAATTGGACATAATAATGATCCATGCACCAGAAGAAATTAACGTGGCCATAGGTAGCGTACAAAATATAAGAATATCAGAAATCTTGGAAGGTTGTGGAGTCCTTATTTCAAATGACAAGAAAATTAGACATTTTAGTGAGGTCACCTAAATAGACTATTAAATAACTGTGCAAATTCACTTTGAAAATTAAGAAAATTAATATATACTCAACATACTGTTAACTCTGTGCCTGAAACTCAATAAGCACTTCTGATCATTATCAGTGATCTTTTAGTGCATGGGCAAGCTACAGTCTCATGGCCCACACTATCAAGAAGTCTTGAATTTTTCCTGAAAAGATAGAAAAAAGGAGGTTTTAGTGAATAGTGAAGTATAAATCCTTCTCAGTCAGGGTATTTAGTTATGAATCTCACTGTTAAAACTTAACAAGGAAAGGGATAAATCTATTTGGGAGGGAATTTCAGAGGTTGCTGGAAGGGTGTGTCAGAGCCCAGGGGAGCGCAGGTGTTGGCTGACGCCTCTAGGAGAACAGCGGAGAAGGTTTTGGAAACATGCATCTTGTGTGCTTAAAAGTGCAATAGTACTTTTTCTAAAGGAATGGTAGTATGTAACAGGAACCTACCAGTAAAGGCATGGGCATGAAAGAAAAGTAGTTATCAAGAGAGTTGTGAAATGTTATGCCTATTTTAAAGAATATTTTTTCATTTCTTGACAATAGGGTGATTCAGGAATAAAAAAATATTTTGGTAATTGAAAGACATTTTTAGTCATAGATTTCCTTAAGATGTAAAGCTCTATTGTCAAATTGAGTAATAGGAAGCATCCACGGGAAAGATCCAATCCTCATAACTAGGTTTCATTCAAGCTGATTTTTAGTCAGGCACATTAAACGTACTGAGAATGGAATCATTTGGCAAGGACAAAGAAATCCGCTCTATTCTTTCATGAGATGAGTGGAGGCTGAACATGTTCCTGGAAGGGTCAAGTATTTGGCGCATAGCTTTGCTGTATGAGATTACTTAACTTTAAAAGGCTCAATGAGAAAAGATGAATTAAAGTAAAAGAAGTCTGGGGAACTCTGAGGTAAAAAAGATAGGAAAGTATTTATGGAATGTGAAAAGCAAATTTAAGAAATTATGACAGGTTACAAATGCTTACATCTAAGAAGAAGGAAAAGCATTTTTAGAATGCCATTACCTGTTCTAAGATTGTAACTAATCATATGTAATGGACACAAATTACCATGAACACTTATTGGTATTCAACTTATTAGTGGATTAAATTTCATAATTGTCTGTAACAGTGGAAATATTTTTCCTTAGAATGATGAATTGAGTCTTCTAAATTTTCTGTTTCTTAGCAGCTAAACACAACACTAAAATATAGGTCTATACAGTTCCTCATCTTTTTGAAATTATCAGTTGATAGAGAATTAATCAGTGAGTATTCCAGTAATTCATATTTTGGTATTAAATTCAACTAATCCTTCTAATAGACTGCCTCACTGAATTATACATGAAATGAACACACTAACAAATGAAGAAAAAGACAGTGTAATCTTTTTAAACATTACTGTTTGATTGAATTCATAATCTAATTGTGTAAAAGATATTAATTAAAATCATCCAAGGAGAATAACAAGATAAGACCAATACTTAAAGGGAAACTCTCCAAGTCTATCGATGTTTATTATTTCTAAGCTGAAAATCTCAGACGAATCGCCTTGATACTGGGTTTGTAACATTCCCTAACGCAGTGGCCATATGACAGAGCTGATATGATCCTAATTTTCTGCCTTATGCAGTTTATTTTCTCAGCAGCTCACACTGTCATTTATTGACTCTGTCAAAGGACCTTCCACATATTAATTTCTCTCTACATATCATGTCCTCATTTTTACCCATCTCTCTGAAGGACAGCTAATGATCTCAGCATCCTAACCTTTGGCATACATATATTTCACAAATCTTTTTGTGCTTGAAATATGGAAAAGGCCAACCCTTAACCTGAAAGAGAAAAACAGAATCTGAAGAGTACAATAGATACTGGGAAAAGGGATTGAACTTATTCAAAAGGAAAAAGTTACTGAATTGAGGAGACGGACAGGAGAGGGAGTGGGGAAAAGAGATTTATCTATGCCTGTAAGCAGGATGGTTTGGACAACTGTACTGTGCATTTCTGTTGGTCTATGGAAAAAAGATAGTAATTGGTTTTATACTTTTTCTCTTTTTAATTTCTTATGCATTTCTTTTTTTCCTTTCTTCCAATTTTATGTGCATATATCTGTTAATATGAATAACTGTTGGAAGACAACACTATGTATTACAATAAATACTGTGGAATTCCTATTACTTTGTTAAGTGACATTCTGTATCCCTTGTAATTTTTTGTTTTAATTCTTTGTACTCTCTTTAAAA